CGTTCCTTGTCCCAGCTTCTGCCAACCTAGCAATTCGAAAGCACGTTAAAAAAAATGCAAGTAGAAAAATAGGGACCACCTTTGGTGGGAAGGGAACAGCGTTCAGTGCGCCTTTGGCATTGAGTCATGCCGGCCACGTGACCACGGAGACGTCTTCGGACAGCGCTGGCTCTTCGGCTTTGAAACGGAGATGAGCACCGCCCCCTAGAGTCGGGAATGACTAGCACATATGTACGAGGGGAACCTTTACCTTTATAAATGACATAAAAACTGTGTTGAGGATTGTCGACCTTCATGGCAAAGAACTTGTGGTTGTTTTTAAGAAGAGATTGGACAGCCATTTGTCTGGAATGCCATAGGGTGTGATGGATGGATGGATGGATGGATAGATAGATAGATAGACAATGATAGATAGAAAGATAGATAAGGAAAGATATAGAAAGATAGCTAGAAAGAAAGAAAGAGAAAAAAGAAAGAAAAAGAAAGAAAGAAAAAAGATGGATGGATGGATGGATGATAGGTAAATATATAGATAGGTAAATAGATAGATAAATAGATAAATAGATAAATAGATAAATAGATAAATAGATAAATAGATATGGATGGATGGATGGATGGATGGATGATAGATAGATGGATGGATGGACGGATAGATAGATAGGTAAACAATGATAGATAAAGGCAGATAGACAGACATAGATAGATAGATAGATAGATAGATAGATAGATAGATAGATGATGGATGGATAATAAATAAATATAGATTATAGATAGATTATTAATATAGATTATTATAAACAGGCAAATAGACAATTAGAGAGGATAGACAGACAGATGGACGGATACAAAACCTGACTGTGGGCCATGGAAATTGAATTTTCTATTGCTAAGAGGCGAATCCTTCAACTTTGGAGAGAGATGCTTGTGGCTCTAATTATTCTGGAATGAAGCACTGGGGCTCCTTTACAAGTGAAGCCCAAATTGTTAACGGATGTGGTGACCATGAGCCATTCCAGTAAACATGGCCCTCCTTTAGGGAAGCACTTGTTAAACTTGTATAAACCGATATCCAATGGGGGTGACACCGATTTATATGGAGGAGGAGCTCGTGGGTTTGAGTGTGAACAGGGCGGCTGTTGATCGCCCCTTCTTTTTATTATTATTTTTCTTCCTTTTCGTTTGTGTTTTTTTTTCTCCTTTTCATGTAATAAAAGCTCTCCAAAGTTAATCCTAAAAACATCACCCACGGAAAAAGTTGAGGTACAGCCTTGGTTCAGTTGGGGAGAAATGCAGTTCTTAAAAGGTTTATGTCTTTAGGCCTGATTTCTACACTACCCAGAGTCATTTTGTTGTGATTATTGTGATTAAAAAAAAAATATTCCATTCCTCTTCTCTGCCCATATTTTGGGTACGTCTTGGGTACAAGTTATAGAAAAGTATCTGTGTAGCTTTCTGGTCTGCTTGTTTTCCTTTCAGCAGCCAAAGCCCAGGAGTTCCCAGCCTGCTGCGTTCATTTCCCTTCGCTTGTGACAAAACTTAAGCTGGCTACAAAAACAGAAGTTGGAAACACAGGCTGCATGTGGGTTGATGAATCAGGCGGGGGTAAATGGCACAGGGAAGGCGCCGTTTGAGAGGGAGAAATAAAGAAAAAGAAAAAGAAAGAAAAAAGAGAGAGAGAAGGAAAGAAAAATAAAGGAAAGAGAGAAGGAAAGAGAAAAAGAGAGAAGGAAAGAGAGAGAAAGAGAGAGAGAGAAAGAGAGAAAAAGAGAAGGAGAGAAAGAGAAGGAAAGAGAGAAAGAAAGAGAGAGAGAAGGAAAGAGAAGGAAAGAGAGAAAGAGAGAGAGAAGGAAAGAGAGAAAAAGAGAAAAAGAGAGAGAAGGAGAGAGAGAGAAGGAAAGAGAGAGAAAGAGAGAGAGAAGGAAAGAGAGAGAAAGAGAGAAAAAAAGAGAGAGAAGGAAAGAGAGAGAGAAAGAGGGAGAGAAAGGAAGAAAAAGAAAGGGAGGGAGGGAAAAATGAAAGAAGGGAGGGAGGAAGAGAAAAGGAAGGAAGGAGGGAGGAAGGGAAGAAAAAAGAGAAGAAGGAAGGCAGGAAGAGAAGAAGGAAAGAAGGAAGGAAAAGGAAGGGAGGAGGAAAGGGAAAGGAAGGAAAGGAAGGAAGGAAAGGAAGGAAGGAAGGAAGAAGAGAGAAGGAAAGAAAAGAGGGAAAGAAAGGAAAGGAAAAAAGGAAGAAGAAGAAAGAAGAAGAAAAGAAAGAGGAAGGAAGGAGTTGTTGAGTGAATCAGGTGGCCGTGTTCCACTCCACACAATCTTCAAATTGTAACCCCCAGCCCCAATAAGCCACCCATCCACATTAACGAAACCTAGTTTGCTGTGCACATCAGCCCCTAAAGGTAAGTGCCCTTCCCTCCTGACCCCGTGGCATTCCTCTCGCCTTCCGGGCATGAGCGGGTCAGCAGGCCCCTTCCTCGCTTGGGGTCAGGGAGGATAATTCCCCCCGAGGTTACTGTGTGGGCTGCTGCCCAGCTCGGTCTTTGACATTTCTCCATCTTCCAAAGGTCTCCAGCGCCCAGCGAGTCTGCCAAGGGGATCTGTGGGAGGCGCTTCTTTGCCACGGAGAGAGGAATGCAGCCCCCCCCCCCCACCAGCGCTGGGCTTTGACCCACCGGCCATAAATGTCAAGGGCAACCCATCCTTTTTATCCATGTGCGAAATGTTTTCCCCCTTGAATGCCCTGCCTGGGGGGAAGGGGGAGGGGGAGGGAGGGCAGGCATCTGGGCCAGGCCACAAAAGAATCCAAACAGGAAGGAAATCCCCAGGGGGCAGAGAAAGTGGGGCTCCTGACCCCAAGCCTTTTCTGACAAATCTTTGCCCTTGAAAATGGCATATAAGCTATTCCTCATCTCTTAATCTATCACCTACATTCCCTACCTACTGTACCTACGCCTGCCTGCCTGCCAATCTCTCTTTCTGTCCATCTCTGTTGTCTGTCTGCCTGTCTATCATATCTCTCTCTTTCTGTTCATCTCTCTGTCTAGCTATCTCTATCATCTATCTATCTATCATCTGTCTATCATTTATCTATCTATTTCTATTTCTGTCTATCATCTGTCTATCATCTGTCTTATCTGTCTGTCTATCATCTATATCTATCTATCTATCTATCTATCTATGTCTCTCTTTCTTTCTTTCTCTTTCTTTCTTTCCTTCCTTCCTTTCTTTTTCTATCATCTGTCTATCTATCTCATCTGTCTATCATCTATGTCTATATCTATCTATCTCATCTGTCTATCATCTATGTCTATCTATATCTATCTATCTATCTATCTCATCTGTCTATCATCTATCTATATCTATCTATCTCATCTGTCTATCATCTATGTCTATCTATATCTATCTATCTATCTATCTATCTATCTATCCATCTCATCTGTCTATCATCTATCTCTAGCTATCTATTTATCATATGTCTATATCTATCTATCTATCTATCTATCTATCTATCTATCTATCTATCTATATGTCTATATCTATCTATCTATCTATCTATCTATCTATCTATCTATCTATGTCTGTTTCTTTCTTTCCTTCCTTCCTTCCTTTCTTTTTCTATCTGTGTTTTGATCTGTGTGTCTGTCTGTCTGTCTATTAATCTTTTGAATAAAATAAAAATTTAAACAAAAAGAAAAAAAATGGTATATATTCAAAATATGTCAGCCTAGTTCATCACCCATTCGTAACAATTTTTCATCACAGATATTGGGGTTGCAGTTCCTCAATCTGACCTGGAATGTTTTTGCTCTTTCTCCTTTTCTTCCCCCCCCACCCCCTCCATCAAACTAGTTTTAGCAAAATGCCCCCCCCATTCCTCCTCCTCTTTTCCTTACCTCCCCAAATCAAGCTGAAGGCTGCCTGTATCCCAGATTCACTGAAGAACCGTAGCACTTTCCTTAACCACAGGGACCAAAAAAAAGGTCATAAAATCAGGTGTGACTCACTTAACAACCAGCTAGCTTAGCAATGGTAATTCTAGTCCCCATTCTGGTCATAAATCGAGGACTTCTTTCCTAAATCATATTTGATTTAGCCCTCCAATAATTAAGGAGGGCTCTGGAAGCCCAATCTCCCCCCCCCCCCAGACTGAAGGCAGCCTCCCCCGAGCGCAACCCTCGCCCCTCTCCAAAAAGCGCACGTGTGGACGCGTCCCCACCCAGAAGCACAGAGCGGGGGAGGGCGGACGGGCGAGGAGGCGTCCCCACGACCACCAAGGCGAGCTTGCTGGGGCGAGGGGAGAGCGAGGGGCCGGCTCCGCTGCTCGCGAGGAGGAGGAGGAGGAGGAGGAGGAGGCGGGCCAGGCTCGGGGAGGGGAAAGAGGCGGCGGCGGAGGAGGAGCAGCCGGGAGGCTCCGCTCGGGGTCCGGGCCGGGCTCGCCTCGGGGACCGAAGGGAGCTGCAGCTGGAGCGGAGCCACCGCCGCCGCGCTGCAGAAGAGCTCGCCGCTCCCACGTAGGGCTTGGGGCTGGCCGGGCTCCGCTTCGAGCTGCTCCAGCCGGCCAAGGGGCTGGGAGGGAGAAGGGAGAAGGAAGGAGGGAAAGAGGGAGGGAAGGAAGGGGGGAAGGAAGGAGGGAAGAAAAGAGGGAAGGAAGGAAGGAAAAAGGAAGGAAGGAGGGAAGGAGGGAGGAAAGGAAAGAGGAAGGGAGGGAGAAAGGAAGGAA